AGGGTTTAGGGTTTAGGGCTTTATCAGCCCTGCTCTAAGGGCACTGCAAAGGCCGCGGTTTAAGGGTTTTGGGTTTAGGGGTTTAGGGGGTTTAGGGTTTTGAGGTTTAGGGTCTAAGGTTTAGTTTAGGGTTTAGGGTTTAGGGGTTTTGGGTTTAGCCATGCCTTGACAAACAGGAAATACGAACAACCACTTCCCGGCGGCATCCCATACCTGGACCTCAGAGAACATGCCTTCTTCAGGTTCCTTAAGTCTCAGATATCTCTATAGAAGTCCCTAAACCCTAAACCCTAAACCCTAAACCCTAAACCCTAAACCCTAAACCCTAAACCCTAAACCCTTAAAAAGGTCGGCTCTTCAGGGTCCAGGTAGTTGTTGCAAGGCTCATCTCGCCGGTCAGGGGCCCAGTCTTTTCCGCACAAGGACCCTAGGGGTAAGGTGGAGCGGGGGCAGGGGTTTAGGGTTTAGGGTTTAGGGTTCAGGGTTTAGGGATTTACCCTAAGGGTCCAAGTAAACCCTAAATCCTGTACTTCGGTGCCACATCTTCGTCAGTCTCTGTGTTTGAAGACTCAGATGATGAGGAGCTTAGGAGCTTGGAAACCGGCCTAAACCGTGAACCTGAAGCCCTCATCCCTTAACCCGAAGCTTTCAGCCCTAAGACTTAAACCCTACCTGTGCCCTTTTTTTATAGGACTTATATGACAAAAGCAGAAGAAGGAACCCTAAAAAGGTCCAGGTAAGCCTTACGCCCTGACTGAACACTCAGGACGCTGTTCCGGTCTCCACGGATAGCCCAATACCCCTTAAGCAGAGGGCATACCTTAGAGTATAAGGGACTTCTATGATGGTACCGTAAATTAAAGCATAAGGGACTTCATATTATGGTCTCAAGCAGACTGCTGACTCAAGGGGTATTGGACTCTCTGGGTCCCTGGAAGGCGGTTTAGGGTTTAGGGTTTAGGGTTTAGGGTTTAGGGTTTAGGGTTTAGTGATTTCTGCACTTTAATTGCACTGCTGGCAAGGCTACATACATTTTGCACCGGGACGGCACTACAAGAAGCCCTCACCTCAGAATGAAAGGCCCTTACAGA